TACAAAGGTGAAGATGAGAAGCAGAGGGATGAGGTGTCCTCCAAGAATTCACTGGAGCCCTGTGCTTTCAACATGAAAGCAAGTGTCGAAGATGAGAAACTTCAGGGCAAGATTAATGATGAAGACAAACAGGAGATTCTTGATAAGTATACTGAAATCATCAACTAGCTGGAAAAGAATCAGACTGCAGAGAAGGAAGAATCTGAACATCAGCAGAAGGGGCTAGAGAAAGTCTGCAATCCCATCATTACCAAGCTGTACCAGAGTGCCTGGAGGAAGGCCTGGCCTGCCACGGTGCGGGAGCTCCTCCTCCTGCTAGGGCTCCCTCAGGGCCCACCACTGAAGAGGTTGATTAAGCCATCCCCAAGTACAGATTTAGCATTGTTCTACACAATAAAATATTGAAGGACCTAAATTTGTAGCAAATTCTGTGGCATTGTCAATACTTGAACATGGAACATGTCCACAGGGAAAAGATAGCAGTGCACTTTTTTTTTTTTGTACCAGGGATCAAACTCGGGTCCTTGTACTTGCAAGGCAGGCACTGGAACCACTGAATACCCAGCCCAACATTGCACTTTGTAAGCACTGTATTATAAGTGGAAATGCAATGCCCTCAATAAAACCATTTAAAATTGGCAAAAAACAAACAGAGAAAATCCCAAGCCCTTCAATTAGCCTTCACCATGAACTCTTTTCCCAACTCCTTCCCCAAGTCAGCTGATAAGGGGCTTTGGCACCCCTCCTCCCTGCTTCCCAGCTGAGAGACTGGGAGGGAAGAGGAGCCCTGGAGCCCACATGCTTAGGGGCACAGTGAGTGGGGGGCTTTGAGGCCCTCACAGCGGATGCCCCATCAGGCAACAAAGCTGGGCCCTGTACTCCTGACGGGGTACTCTCTCCAGGACCCAGACAGCAGGGCTCACAGCAAACCACAGGGTACCAAGCCCCAGAAGTTCACTCAGGTCATTAGAAAGCTGAGCCAGGGAGGAGGTGCTGCCTGGGATCAGGCTCAGCAGCCCACTGCCCACATGGACAAGTGGGGCAGAGCCTGGAGCCGTCCCTGCCACACCTGATCAGCATCCAGCTCCAAGGGCTCCAGGAGCAAGGGTCAGAGCCTAACAAGCAGCGTTTTTATCCCCTCCCTCTCAGCTTCCATTATCTTTCCACCCTTCCCAGCATCTGCACTTAAGAGCCCTCCCTCCCTCCAAGATGGCTGGTTCCTCCCATACTGCAACCCTGTCTACCACTCCAAGAAGTGATATGAATTTTGAAAAGAGGGTGTGGCAAGAGCCAGAGAGAGGGGCTACACTGAGAGGAGAGGCCAGGGAGGCAGGAGAAGGGGGGATGAGGGAGGGGAGGGGTGGGAAGGGGAAGGGAAAGGAAGGTCACAAGACCAGTCCCCCACCTATGGCCACGACAACCAAGCTGACCACCTGGATTTCTAGCACTTGTACTTAAGACCAGAATTAGCTAAAATCCTCTTTTGACCTGGCTAAAGGCTAATTCTGCTCAGCATGAAGTGAAGCGGGTAGAAGACCTGGCAAAAGGAGAAACGTGGACCATCAGTTCATTTCAAATGAGGATCTCTAGTCAGGTCACTCACTATGTCTGTGGTGACCTAGGATCCAGCAAACCAAAGCACTGCCATTTGGGGCTGGATCCCAGCTAAGCATAAATTGCCAGCACAGTCCAGAGAAGAGGTCAGAAGGTCAGGCTCCTCACCTAGCTGGGGAGAGATGGTGACAGGAATCATTCAGAAGAAAGTGTCTGGGATGTGAGAACAACACAGGCCTTGTCAGTACAGCAAGAAGAAGACCATCGCCCTCCACACACACACACACACGGCCCTGGGGGATACACTCCCTCCTTCATGATAGCCAGAGACCCTGTCCTTAGCCACAGGGCCACCGGCCCCAGGCTGAGTCATTCATAGGGCCCATCCCCAGCCGGGGTGACCCAAGTAGTTTTGGGTGCCTGATGCAGAGGAGTCTCCTCTAAGTCCCCTACCAGAAACCCAGCAGAGCTGGAAGCGATGGCTGCAGACTGTGAGAAACAGATGGGAGATAAAGATAACCACATCCTTTATAAGTATGTTCTAATGGAAGTATAAGAGCTAGCTAACGGCTGCAGATGGTGTCAAAGAGGCTCGTGCATCCTACCCCAGGGGTAAGCACACAGCCCATAGCCTGGCCCCCCAGACCAACTAGTCACATCAGATTCTCTTGAAAGTTGGCAAGGTAATGACTCATGCATAAAAAATTGACATTGGTTATGTTCCATTGTACACTAGAGTTTACAGGTAAGTCTCCTTCCCCTGGAAGGCACAATTCATTTATGAGCTGTCTTTATGGCCTCCATAGTGATTCATCCAGTATCTCACGCTTGGCAGGTATTCTATAAATATTTTACAAATATGAACTGCCTGTCTCAGATGAGGAGGACTCATCAAGCGTGAAGGAGCACGTACATGCACCCACCCACAGCCATCCACCAGAGTGGCATGGAGATCTTGAGAAAACACGCACTCCCAGAGGGGCCCCGGCCTGCAGACAGCAGGCTGAGCCACACAGACGGCCCCTCCCTTACTACAGCCCGGGAGGTGAATGCTATGTTCTACACAGCACCGGGACACATCACTGGGACCAGGCCCCCACGGTGAAATCCAGACGAGCTGCCCTGGCTGTGCCAGCAGACAGGTCACTCAGGGGTGAGGGTGAGGCCTGCTTACCTCTGCATTCCCACCCGCTGTGGATGCACTGGACATGCAGAAAGCCAGCCATGTGCAGTGCCAGCCAGAGTCCCTCCCAGGGGCCAAGGCACACACCTCCAGCAGTGGAGGCACTGCCTAGCTGGAAGGACCATCACGAGACAGTATCTGCAAATGCTTGGTCTCTCCCAACACCATTCCTGCACTTCCTCTCGCCACAACAGCGACCGCCAAAACCACATCTGCCATGCAGGTGTGCCTGCGTTACTCAGCTCTCCTCCAGAGAAGCGCTGGAATCGAACTGACACAACTGGCTTGCCTTTCTGAAGTATCTATAGGATCCTTCCTCTGTAATGAACCTGCGAAACAGCAAAGAATGACCCCAGAGCAAATTGTTCTGAGTTCTTTTTGCGCATTAGTTTTAGTTAGAAGAGAGCATATCTAGAAATCGCTTTCAAGCTAATGTGAAACCCCGAGGGTCACTTCGCATGCCAGACTTGAGAACAAGGTGCTTGTGTGATGTTGAGGGAATGGACACCTCAGAGGCCTGACTCTATACCCCTCTGGGAGATGACTGCATCCCCAGCCTACCACCAGACGACTGAAAAGGGCCAGCTGGCCCAGCAGCAGCAACCCAGACTAGCTGTGGACTGCAGCAGCGCCTTCTGCCTTGGTGACCACCTTCCATTTAGAGTGGCCTGGGCCCAGGTGGGCAGGTTCTCCTCAAAGGGTTCTGAGCTTTCCCAGGACCCTTTTAATGAACAAGTTTCAAGAAGCTTAAAGCAAGTATAAATCAGAAACCAAAGGCTGTTTCTGGTGCTGGTAACCACCAAAACGTCTACTAACCTGTCTGCTGAGCAGCAGCTAACATTTATTAAGGGCTCGCTATGTGTCAAGCACTATTCTAAGTGCTTCATATGCATTATTTTAAATAAGCCTCACAACCCTTTGGGGAGGTGCTGGCTTCTCCATTTTCCTGAGATTTAGAAAAGTTAAATACTTCTGCCAAGCTTACATTAGTAAAGAGCAGTCAAGATTTGAATCCTGGATTTCACTGCTGTGAAAGAATGAAAAAACTGGCCACAATATTCTGCAGCTCCTCCCAACAGAAGATGGGGTCTTCACGCTAATGTTTGATTCTTGATTGGGCTGAGCCACTTGCTTTGGCCAATAAAATGTCAACAAGCTGATATAAGCAGAGGCTGCACAGGTGCCTGAGTGCTGGGCACTGCATCTGCCATGGGGAGGAGGGGGGTTACAGGGGAAAAGAGGCCCTGCCTGCCCGCAGAATGCTAGAAAGTAACAAATTATTGTTGTTTTAAATTACTTAATTTTAAGTGGTCTGTTACACAGCAAAAGGTAATTGAAACAATCATGAAGTTCTTGCTAGCAAACAAATATCAGCCAATAAGAATAAATAAATAAAATAAAAAACCTCTTTATTCTTCCCTATATTTCCTCACAGACAGAATGAGAAGAACGGAAGCTCACATTTCATCAGAACATATTACAGTTGGACCAGAGGCAGAATTTGCTGACAGTGCAGGAGCCTAAGCACAGAAAGACGCAGCGCTAGGGTCTCCAAGAACGGGCTGTCATCATGCTTTTTGCTCAGAGCTAAGCTCTGCCTTATGGTTGATCTCTCCGGGACTTCCAGAGAGACGCAGGTGGCTGAAGCCAGATCCCAGCAGCCTCTCAGGCCAGCTCAACGGCCAGGCCTCCGCCTAGGCAGCTCCCCTTGCAGACCAGGCAGGCGGTTAACACTCCCCAAAGGGTTCACTCTCCATGACCCATCTGGCTAATTAAAAAAGCAGCTTCTCCTTTCACTGAGCAGCATCTGGTGAAGCTGGGAAAGGCAGCAGGAGGGTGGGAGCAGCACTAGGCAGAAAGAGAAAGAAAGATAACTAATCCAAGGAGGAGGTGAAAGTTTCCTCTCTTTAGAAGAGAAATCAAGTTAGCACTCTTGATGGAAAAACACACAGCATGGTCTACAGCAGGCACATGGTAGAGAAAAACAAGGGTACCGAGACTAAACAAGGCCTATACCAGAGGTTAAAAATGTTATTAAAGGGGCCGGGGATTTAGCTCAATGATGGTGCCACCGCCTGTCTCGCAAGCTCAAGGTCCCCAGTTTGATCCCCAGTACCAAAAAAAAGAATACAAGAAAAAAAAAACCCCACGTAATTGAAGTACTTTTACCTTCAATAAAACAAAAGACAAAAATGGAGGACCTGAACATCTTTAGATTTCAGCTGAAATTAAAAACATAACAACTAGCAAGATAGTTTCTTACCTCTGTGCATAATCTTGTGCTTCTCCCTCAGATAGGTCAGGCCTTTTATTACCTGGAGCAAAGGGAATGTGAAAAGAAAATGTTTTATCTAACAACAACAAATTTGCCTAGCTCCCTTTCTTTTCTTTTTTCTGTGTTTATTTATCTTTGGCATTGCTGGGGGTGAATCCAGGCCTCACACACGTGCGGCAAGCACTCTCCAATGAGCTACCTCCCCAGTCCTTTTCATTTTTTCATTTCACTTAGTCAACCTGCATTATCAACCAACCAACTTTTACAGGATACATTACAATTGTTTGGGATTTTTAGACAGGGTCTATTCTACTACCTGCCTTGCAAGTATAAGGTCCCAAGTTTGATCCCTGATACATCCCACCCTAAAAACCCCCAAAAGGCAGGGTCTTGTTATATAGTCCAGCCTCAAACTCAAGACACTCCTGTCTCAGCCTCCCAAATGCTAGGATTACAAGCACACACCACCACACCGAGCAAGTATAATTTTTTTTTTTTTGGTACCAGGGATCGAACGTGGACCCTTGTGCTTGCAAAGCAGGCGGTGGCACCACTGAGCTAAATCCCCAGCCCAGCAAGTAAAATTTTTAATTAAAACTAATTATTGAATGTTTAGGGCTGGGGATTTGGGTCAGCAGCACTGTTTCTGCCTCACAAGCAGGTCCCGAGTTTGATCCCCAGTACCCCAAAAAAGTTTAAACAACTTAAAAAATCACTATGTGTGAATATTTATTTTATTTTATTTAATAAATAAATTAATTTATTTTTTGAGACAGGGCCTTACTATAGTTTAGGCTGGCCTTAAACTTACTATTAGCCCAGGCTGGCTTTGAACTCAGCTATCTTTCTGACTCTGCCTCCCAAGTGCTGGGGATTACAGGCATGCACCACCACGCCAGGCCTTGAATTTTTATTTTACTACATCTACAATTTTAAGTTTTCGGATACTACAAATGGGAATTTTCTCAGATACCTTGTCCTATTTTTTAGACACAGATTTTAATATAAAAAAGTTACTTTTCTCATTCTACTGAGAAATAACATTACATCTAGACTCTAGATAGAGAAAATTCTAGTGAGAAGATCCCCACACACACCTTTTTGTTCTGTTTAGGTTTTTATTTGGGGGGGTGGTTTTTTTGGTTTTTTGAGATGGGATCTCGTTACGTAGTTCAGGCTGGTCTTGAACTATGTAGCCCAGGGTGGCCTCAAACTCACAACAATCCTCCTGCCTCAGCCTCCCAAGTGCTAGGATTATAGGTGTGCACCACTACACACCCGGCATGATTTGGTTTTCTGAGACAGAGTCTCACTATGTTGTCCCACACTGGCCTTGAACTCACTATGAAGCCTACAATGGCCTCTGCAATCCTCCTTAGCCGTCTAGGATCACAGGTGTGTACCACCATGCACGGCTAAAGAACCTCTGTAAAATAAATTTTTGGGCTGGGGATTTAGCTCAGTGGTGCTGCTGCCTGCCTTACGAGTGTAAGGTCCCGAATTCAATACCCGGTACCAAAAATTAAAATAAAATAATAAAAATAAAATTTCCTTCCCCTGACTTTTTACATTACTCCCTTACCTGTTTTCTACAGAGTCATTATCAATGAAAGAACCTTGAAGAAAAACTTCACAACATACTCACAGCAATGCTAACTTTTCCTAAAATTTGCTCAGGAATTCTTCCAGCTTTCTTCAGGACTTGATCCAAGGAACCCCCATCCTGAGAATAAAAAAGCCATGCCATTTAGTGACAACATTTCTCTCGTTTCAGGTGTTAAACTTCAGGAGAAAAGTGAACCTCACTCACAGCCAGTATCCCAGGAGGTTACTGCAAGTACCCTGGTTTTGCTCCAGATGTCCAGGACCAAATAAGGCCTGAACACAAAACACTGTGGAGGCACCAGACCTCCAGCAACTCCAGTCCTGGGAGCTTCCCTAAGCAAATCCCTGTACAGGATTGCAAGCCGGGGTTCACAGCTGGGAGTGGCTGGAAGCCAGCTCTGTAGGCAACTGCTGGACTCCCAACTCCACTTCTGCTGCCTCCTCTCCAGCAGACTTGAGGACAATGAGGACATACTCATAGGGCTGTTGTGAGAACTAAGCAAGCTAATACACATAAAGCACGCAGAACAGCATGCAGACCATAATAAGCACTTAGTAAATGGTAGCACTTTCTCACAACTTGCATTCCGCATTCTCCTAACAAATTATAATTAACCAGACCCAAAGTCTAATGTCATAGGCTAACGTCACTGCAAAAGTGCACTGGACTATGTTACCTTCTACAGGAAGCAAAAATATAAAAATTACTGGGTCCTCAAAAAACTTAATAACAGATATAATAAAATCAGAGATTTACAAGAAAAGTGCTGTAGACATAAAAAAAGGGAGCAGTAGTTCGTACTGAACTCAGAAGACAGCATTTAAAGTGAAATCTTTCTCCCTTTTTTTGGTACTGGGGATTGAACTTGGGCCCTTGCGCTTGAAAGGCACGAGGCAGAACCACCGAGCTAAATCCCAGCCCCCTCCTTTTCTTGAAACAGCATCTGGATGTGTAGCACTGGCTGGTCTTGAATTTACTATGTAGCACAAGCTGTCCTTGAACTCACAGCGATCCTCCTGCCTCAGCCTCCTGAGTGCTGGGACTAAGGTGTGTATCACCACATAAGTAATGAGCTGAAATCTTATTCAAGAATCAGTACTGTTTTCTGTAGTTGGAAAGTGGGAGGTCAAGGGAGAAAAAAAAGAGCATAATCCCTCTTCTAGAAAAATAAAAAGGGTGCACATGCTCAAACAAAACAAAACAAAAAAGTATTATTAGGGGCTGTGGATGTAGCTCAGTCCCTGGCACAAGAAAGAAAGAGAAAGAAAGAAAAAGAAAGAAAGAAAGTAAGTTATTAGGCCTACCTCCAATCTAGACCATAGTGTTAACAGAGATTTCTGCTGCATGACAGTTTATAAATCTTCTGTAATGTGTAAATGTTTTACCTCTCTAAATTCATAAACCAGAGGCTGGGCACCTACCTCAGGATAGAGCACCTGCCTAGCATATATGAGCCTGGGGTTCAAACCCCAGCACTGTCAAAAAAACAAACAAAAAACACTAAGCTAATTTATGGAAGCAGAAATTAAATCTATAAATCAGGTGACACATGCTGATCACCCGTTCTTTGTAAAGGTAGTGAGGTAGACACAAAACTGTTTTTGTTGTAGAAGAGGCAAGACTCATTAAAGGACACAGAGCTCCTAGAAATATTATCTGAATCAATGCTAAAAACAGATTATCAACTTAGAAATTTATGCTTAAAAAAAGGAGAGTTTAAACCAACCGATTTGTTACAGTAAACTGTGGGTCACTGATGCTAATTGGAAAGAGAAATGATACGACTGTGGTACAAGTGCAGGACATTTTCACCTGACACATGGACATCGCTGTGATAAACTCTAGTGTAACTGCCCCAAGCTGAGTCCACCAAGGAGAGCATGCAGGTTCTGAAACAACCTAAATCCCAAATGTGCCATAATCATCTTCACATGAACAGGAGAGTGCATCAGGAACCTACAGCCCAAGGGAGTTCCTCTTTAAACATCGGTTTTCCAATAGCCCCAAAGGATAGTTTCAGCTCCTTTGTTTGAATGGGTTTGCCTTATTATAAAAGAGGACTAGAAATTTAAAACAAGATGATACTCTCTCAAACTTGATTCAAAAGAGGCAGTGAGTGGTTTTGGAGTTCCTTTCTCTACACAGGCAACGAATAGCATAAACTCAACCAACTGCCAATGGAGGCCTGGGGAAGAGGGGAGTGTGCCACTGTCCTGGGGCCTGGTCAGGTACAGGTCACTAGAAAGGCACGGAGACTGGAACCAGTGGTAGAGCAGCTGCCAATTCCAGAACCAAAAAATCCCCACCAAAAATGTTAGATTAAAAAGGAAGAGGAGGTGGGGGGCTAGGGAATTGGCTCAATGGTTCTGCCACCTGCCTCACAAGCACAAGGTCCTGAGATCAATCCTTGGTATCCCCCCCACCCAAAAAAGGAAGAGTGGCCAGGGATTTAGCTCAGTGGCACTGCCCTTGCCTTGAAAGTGCAAGGTCATGAGTTCAATCCCTGGTACTACAAAAAAAAAAAGGGGGGGAATAAACTGGGCATGGTGGTGCACATCTGTAATCTCAGCACTTGGAAGGCTGATACAAGAGGACTGCTGCTGAGTTCTAGGCCAGCCTGGGCTACACAGTGAGCTCAAGGCCACCCTGCACTATATAATGAGACCCTATTAAAAAAAAAAAAAAAAAGAAGAAACTCTAAGTCTCTTCCTTTCAACCTCTGGGCTACAGGCAGAGTTACAGGGAAGACAATGGAATTAGCAGGATGTCAGGGGCTGGTTAGTCAGTATCACCCAGAGTCTCCTGCAACTAACCCTAGAGCCTTATAATTCTAATTCACTGCCTTCCGCCTTAGTCGACTACAGCTGCAAACTGGTACTTATTTTTAGAAGCCAATTATTAGCTATGTCAATGGTACTTTTGTGAAGGTTTTCTATAGAAGAGACAAATGCTTTATGAAAATAATAGCTCAGAAGCTTTTACCCCTGCATAAGAACCATCCACTCCAGTCCCTGGATTCCCTGTTGCTCAGCTACCACTCAGGCAGGAATCTACTTCCCGAAGACAAGCACATTACTCTCCAAGAGGCAGACTGTGTGGGCCTCACTGCAAACACAGCTCACTGTTTAGAAAGGCAAGCCCTGGCTGGGCCTCCAAGAGACGGGGACTGGTGAACGCTGCAGACAGCTGACTTTCAAACACCCAAAAGACGACGTGTGAGCAATGGTTAAGTGGACCATGTAGCAAAACGTAGCAGTCTGGAGTGGTGAGTTCATGGGGTCATGGTGTACAATCCCTTCAGCTTTTTGTATGCTTGTGAATGTTTATCATAAACTCCTAGAGCTGAGTATTAATGACGTGAATTCCATGCAAAGACCACGATGGGGGCCCGAAGCCCTCAGAAGCTGGGAGGTGACTGCCAAGCAGTGCTCCCCATACGACAGCACCTGTGAGACGCTGAGCAGAGGCCCAGCAGAAGAAAGCCTAAGAGAAGCAGCTGCCTGCAGACAGACAGCTTTCCAGGGAGGACAGCTGGACAGGGCTCTGCCACAGGGGGGCCTGCTGGTGGACTATGGAAGGGGTGATGGAAAGCTATTGTCACTCACAGCTGCATGCACCTCCAACCACAGCTGTTTTCTACACAGCCCTACCTAGACTCACTGGCTGCTCTGAGCTTCTCCAAGAGTATGAACGGCTGTCCCAGCTGCCCTGTGGACCCGAACACACCCAGGAGTTAAAGCTGACTCTAATACCTGCTCCCAGGCTGAGCAGGCCTTCTCCCCACCTGGCCGCCCTCCTGTCTGCCCACCTGTCTCACCACCCTCATTCGGCCACTCCACACATTGTCGCTTAAAAGGTCCTTGGCACTGTGCTTGGCCCTCAAAAGTTTTTTTGTCTGTTGTCTGCCTGGTTAGTTTGTTGGCTGGCTGGCTGGCTGGCTGGAGGGAGGATCTTCCTAAATTGCCTAGGCTGGTCTCTAACTTGGAATCCACCCACGTTAGCCACCGGTAGCTGGAACTATAGGCATACTCACCATATCTGGTTTCCTCAAAAGGTCTGACTCTCCCAGCTCTGCTAGCCAGTTTTCCAGTCTCAGTCTCCCGGGGTAATCCCAGAGACAGCTCCTGCTCTGAAGACCTGGATGGCAGCATCCACTGTTCCCAAAAAGCCAAACCCATGGGGGAAAGATTACCCATGGCTACTAGAAATGGGCCAGAAAGATAGGAAACCAAGCCCTACTATGCCCAGTGTCATCTTCTGCTAGAAAGGACTGGGGAAGGGGGACACAGCCAGGACACAAAGGACATGACTAATGTTTACAAATCCAGAGTACATAAGTAGGATTCCAGGATCATCTCAGAACACGTCAGTGTAAGACAAATATGACCATCCTGTCCACCTGGCAGGAAGACTCACAGGCTGGTTAAGAGTTCCAACAGGGTTTGAAAGAAGGGAGATGCCTCATCCAAACTCTGAGGCCAGCACTCTAGAATTCAACCACGCTCAGCCCTCAAATGGCCCTGTAGCTGTCTGTCCTATGACAGCGAGAAACCTGGGGGGTCCAGACCTTGGTGGTAGCTCAGAGAAAGCGCAAGCAGGCCTGAAGTTACACACAGCTGGTGTTCACAAATGCTTCCGTCTACACTGCCATCCCTTGAGAAGGTGCTGGAACACAGCAGCCAGCTGTGAGCCACTCAGGGAGGGATGGAGATGCTGCTCTCAATGTCTGTCCTCAAGACAGCTCGTGCAGCACTGTGCGCAGAACAGGCACTGAAAGTAAGTACGTGTGAAGCTGAACCCATGCTGATCAGCTAACATAAACCCCAGCTGGATGCAAGTGCCAAACACCACAGAAACGCAGGGTGTGAGCAGGGGGCCGAGAGAGGAGACCTCATCCAGTCGCTTCTCTGCAGAGGTGGAAGTCTTGAGAACACATGACCTGCCTAGGAAAGGGAGCATAGGAAACTTAAAAGCAGACCTGGTTGGAGACTCTAGTGCTTACTGCCATGCGATTTGTACTCCCCACCTATAAGCTGTGGGGTCACCTATAAGCTGCCTCGGGGGTTGGGGCTGTAGCTGATGTGAAGTGACAAGGACCAGGGAAGTGACAGAAGGTTCAAAAGCTAGTTGCTACTCTATCCAGTCACCAGCACTCACCTCCTAGGATGCGAGCAAGAACCAAGAGGAAACTCCCTGGGCCAACCCTGTCACTGTTTTGTTACCATCACCCCACACACTTCTTCCTTCTAGTCTTCCAGGATCTCCATTGCTATTTATAAGCCCTCATCTAAAACTCTTGAGCCACAGCTGAAACCCATCACTACCACCACAGAGCACAAGAAACACAAGGCCACGGAATAGGCCCCAAGGAGGGGCTTGTCCCGAGTAGAAAGCCCAGGCCAGGACTGAAACAGGAGCAGCTCCGCGAGTCCCACAGAGACTGCTTTGCACTGGCTCAAGCAAAGGACAGCTGTGCTTCTCAATGACCTGTAGATGCCAGAAGATGTGGCAGGAACTGTGTCTTGTACCGCACCCACAAATGTTGGCAGAGGCTGGCAATGTTGTCTATCACCCTTCTTGATGACCACAATTAAGAGACATTAGAAAAATGGGGGTGGCAGCAAGGAAGAAATCTCCCAGGAGGGCTCTCCTCGAGCTCCCTGAGACCAAGCCCTGGAGGTCCAGTCAGGGCTAGAGGGACAGGAAGGAAAAGGAAGGAGCTGAGAGACACCATGCTGGACAGAGCACACAGCAGACACCAAACAGCAGGCTCTTGTCAGCCCTGTCTCTGCCAGGCATGCAAGTAAACCAAAAGCTATCATTTGCGGGAAATAGCAAGGACTGCATCCAGGGCCTAATCATGCAAGGCAAATGCTGTACCACTGAGCTACATCACCAGCCCCTTTTCTTTTTTTATTTTGAGACAAGGTCTTTCTAAATAGCCCAAGCTGACCTCAAACTTACAGCTTTTCTGCCTCAACCTCCCGAGTATCTGGGATTACAGGCTGAAATTGCAAATGTGTGCCACAGTATCCACTTGTTACTTTGATTAATCCTCCCACAACAAAGGAGATCTAATAATGGTCATTTTATAGATGGGGAAACTGAGGGAAAAGTAGATAAATCTGCCCCAAATCACCATGAGAAGGTGATAGTCCATAAACAATTCTTGAGCATCTGCTGTGTGCCAGGAATGGTCTGGGCTTTGAAGACTCAGAACTCAGACTTTTGGCAAACATGACAAAGCTTCTATGGGTTTCTGTGGAGAGCGGATATAGATAAACACCTGTCAGATTCTAAGCCCCCTATACCATGCTGCATAATGGGAACAGAGAAAACCAGCAGTAAAGCCAGCTGTTCTCTCTGAAGCCCTCAGCCACATGGAGGACACGGGCCAGGTCCCTTCATCTCAGAAAGTGCAGGCACCTGAGTCAGACTGCATGCGCTTTAATTCTACCAAGAGCACTTACAAGCTGCAGGACCTAAGTAAGTGAATCAATTTCTTTGTGCCTCGGTTTCCTCATTTGGGTAGGATTATATACCCATTCAAAAAGGTTTTAAGAAAATGCAATAAAATGTTGGTTTGCTTAGAATAATGCTTGGTATAATACACATCCACTAAATATGAGTTCAGCATTACTAGCATGAACACCATTATTGTTATTCTTCCTAGTCACTGAGAAGAGATAAAAGAGATCTCAGGCCGCTACCAGTAAGAAGACTGGCAGATCATATACCTAGCATTAGCCTATGAACTCTCTCACTAGCCCCAGCCTACCACTCATGTGCAGGTGGGATTACTCCTCTCCTGGTCCCAACACTTCCCTCAGGCTGCCCTCAAAGTAGATTATAAACTCTGAAGGCAGGGACTGTTTCACTCATCTTCATAAACCCTGAACCTTATACCCAGGACCCAGCATATATTATATTATATAAAGTAAATAGGTTTAAACCATATTAACTAGATTTTAAACATATTGATATCTTTTTTTTAAATTTTGAGACAGAGTTTCATTAAATCACCCACGCTGGGCTCAAATTTGCATGTGCCTCCACGCCTGGCCCACATCAAAATCTTAAGAGACATCTGGATAGGAGAAAACTGGGAGGGAACCCTAGTCACTTCCACCTGTCTTTGAAGAGAGTCAGGGATCTGGAAAGAAGCCAAGTTCTACAGTCAGGCTTCCCAGAAGCCCAAGACAGTGCTGTGGATCCAGGGAGCCACAAGGAAGCAGCTGTCACCTGCCATGCCGAAGATTAGACTCGAGCCCCAGTGCCCTGGCCACTGCCCCAGGGCCGGCAGGTACCCTACCATGTGCTCCATACAGATGCTGATCTCGCCATCGCTGTAGAAGGCCCCGTAGAAGCCCACAATGTAGGGTGAGTTGCACTCGTGCAGCACCTGCAGCTCGCGGATGATCTGGTTGCGGATGGCCGGCTTGATCTCCAAGTGGATAAGCTGGGGAGAGAGGTTACAGGCCAAGGATTAGAGAAGGGATAGGGTGCCAGCCAGCGCATCAGGCGGGTGTGGGCGCCAGAGAGCTGTCAGCAAGACAGCAGCTGAGCTTCTGTTCATGGGGACAGGGATTCAGCCTTCCAAGAACGAAGCCAAACACAGGGCTTGCTCCTGAGGGACACATGCAGACTGAGCGGAAACTGGCTTGGCTGGGGTGGAAAGCATGGGGGATTGAGTTATGCCAACTGTGGCTGCCCAACAGCTTCCTCCGTGGCCTTAGGAGCCTGATCTGCTTGAGATTTAGCCAAAGTCTCAGGTGCTACTTTATGTCCCCCTAACCATGTCCCTTGTTCCAACTAGAGAGACAAGCAGCAGACACCTTAAATGGTTACCTACTAATGCTGAGCATCTTAAAAAGTCAGCTGGGCATGGTGGCGCATGCCTGTGATCCCTGGCCACCGCTGAGACAGGAAGATCACAACTAGGTCGAGGCCAGCCTGGACTACATACTGAGTATGGACAGCTTGAACTACATAGTAAGACCCTATCTCAAAAAACAAAACCCAAAAAACAAAAAGCTGGCTATGGTTGGCACATTCCTGCAATCCCAGCATTCAGGAGGCTGAGGCAGGATGATCACATTAAGTTCAAGGTCTGCCTGGGCTATACAATGTGTTCGAGGCCAGGGTGAACTACACAGCTGTCTGTCTCAAAAAATAGAAGCCCATAGTCACAGTCAGAGCACATCAAGTGTGGCTGGGCATGAGGTGGAGTAGCTACAGAAGCTGGGTGAGGGGCACAAGGATAACATGGGGACAGGACGGACATGGTAAGCTGGAACATGGGTGAGTCCAAATTCTCCAGATGGGGTGGGGTGTGAGCTGCATTAAGCAAGGGCACCAAAGGCTGGACAGGAAAGCAAAGTCCAGCTCAAAGACACTGCCACGGAGGGGAGCTCAGAGGTGGGACTGCATGGACTGCAGGGAGCCACAGGTGAGCCAGTCACACAGGAAACAACCAGAACTTAGTGTGCAGGTGAAAGCAGCTCTTCCTGCACCTGACAGGTGACAAACCAGCACCCCGCCCACACAGTACACAGGAAGCTACAGAAGGGCCCCTCGCTGGTATTTCCCAGGCCAGAGATGGGGAGTAACATAGGCAACAATCATTAGGATGCTCCCCGCAATCTGCGCGAAGTCTGACCGCCCATCATTCATCCAGGTTAGCTCACCTTTCGGGCCATGACCAGGCCGGAAGGCTTGTGAGAGACCTTGAACACCACGCCACCATTGCCGGCGCCGAGCTCACTGATCTTCTCAAAGTCATCGTCCTTCAGCTCTCCCACTTTCTGCTTCTGCGTCAGGAAAGCCTCGAGGCGCTTCCGCTGCTGCTCATCCAGCTCCAGCTCCTCCAGCTTCTTCTGCAAGGCCTCTAGGTTGGTCCTGCGCAGGGAGGGGCAGGGCGACATGGTCACCAGAGGCACCCACTTGAGGGCTCCTGTCCCAGGGCCCCTTCCTCCAGCTTCCCTCTGTAGCCTCACTTCCGCAGGTGGAAGACGAGTGCACTAGGCTCTCCACGCACTGCATGCCTCCAGTTTCGAGAAAACAAAAAAGCCACTAAAACTGAGACTGAGTCACCTTTCACTGCTTTCAAGCCTCAGTTAAAAAGCCCCACTAATAGTGGTTTTATTACATCTACACCATACACACAGACACAAAAAAAATTCCCTACATTTCCTCAATTGAAATCAAACCCACTTTGAACTGAGTCACAATATAAGAACCTGCAGATTTGGTGTGATCAGGTCTAGGAACTAGGCTAACCAAAAACGTTAGGACAAACTGTCACAAAAATGGTATCTATACAATTATTCTGGCCGAACACCAATCAGTCTGTGCTCAGGCACACGTTCTCCAGCCAGGGCAAGGCGCTCTGGATGAGGGCCCACTACAACAGCGCCTCATCATCTACACCAGCCAGAACATAAACACTCTCTGATCTTCACACAATGGAGTAAAAATGAAGACACTTGCAGAGTAATTATAAGACATAAAATTTTAGTCTTATGATTTCCTCCCATCTTACTGCTCACCTAACTTGAGAGTAATGTATATTAGTGACTTGGCCTTACTGAGTCTTTCCAGAGCTTTTAACTACATGTAAAGCAAGAGAAAAGAGGCCTGGGATGCAGCTCAGTATTTCCCTAGCAAACGCAAGGAAGGCATTAGATTTGATGCCCAGCTCCAAGAAAAAAGAAAGGAAAAGAAAAAATCACTGTATTTGTAGTCATTTTCCTCAGCTTATCCATATTTCTTTTTCTTTTTCTTTTTTTTTTTTTTTTTTTTTTTTTTTTTTTTTTTTTTTTTTGAGACAGGGTCTCACTATGTAGTTGGGACTGACCTGGAGCTCACTATGTAGCCCAGGTTGGTCCCAAACTCACAGTGATCCTCCTGCCTCAGCCTCCTGAGTGCTGGGATTACAGGTGTGCGCCACCACGCCCAGCCATCCGTATTTCAATGTACTGTTGGCCACCATGGCAGCTCACACTGTCTGAATGGCTCTGGGTGCACATGTAGTTCCCCAGGGTGCTGTGGCGATGGGCACACACCTGGCTTGGCTCTGGGCATACCAGCCAGGCATCATTCAGTGCATCTAACAGAGAACTGAAGAGCACTTGTTGTTGCTGTACGGTGGCAGAGAGTATCCACTGCGTTTCATCTGATTTCAGCCAGTTCTATGCAAGTCCCTGTCTACACAGTGACAGAGGTAACAAGACAGGCCTACTTATACTTCAGAACGTGTGCACCCCACCACACACACAGCAGCTCCGAGACTGGAGGCAGAGGTGTAACTTCCATGTTTCCTTCATGCCACACCCCAAGTCCAAGGAGGCAGGGAGATGGACCTCACACGCCTCTCCTTCCACATACCAGCGCTGCCTGGCAGATACACAGCACCTGGGGCCAAGGCAACAGGCAATGCAGGCTGATGTCACTGACTTTCTGCCCAGGTAACTCCATGGAGGGCTGATGCTATGGACTGAATTATGCCTGTCCCCAGATTCACACATGGAAGCCTGAACAAATGCCAATGTGACTGGAAAAAGTTTTGTCAGGAGATAATTAGGGTTAAATGAGGTCGAAAGGGGAGGGGTCCTAGTCAGACAGGACAGGTGGTCCCTTAAGAGGAAGGTGGTCAGGGCATGTGTGGAGGAGGGGCTACACAAGCCAACAAAAGTCCCCCCAGAATCCCTGTGCGAGCACCCCGACCTCAGGCTCTGACTGCGAGACCCAGTGTGTGCCGACTGTGTGCTAACAGGTTAGGCGAAGTCGCAGTGCCCCCAGCACCTCCGTGCGAGGGCCCAGAGTGCAGGTGGCTGGAAGGGCGTGATGGGCACCTCTGAGGTCCTCACTACAGAGGCCCACCAGGGGCCACATTTAGAGACACTCATCAAGCACAGAGAGCCATGGCTCTGACTTGGATGAGGTCACTGCTATGTGGAGGGCCCTGGCACCACCTGGAACTGCAGAATCCAAAAGCAAGGTCAAAAATACACTCTGGAGTACATAAGGAAGCAGGAGGGCTGGCCAGAAGACAACCGACTCTCCCTGCATGCTGTGCACTCTCCTGAGTGATCTACACTTATTAACTCACTCTACCCCACCCCCCAGGACGACAATGAACAATGACAACAGAACAGAGGAACAAACTGAAGCTGGGCAGGGGAGGTAAACTGCCCAAGGCCGAGCAGCTAGTATAGGGCACAGCCAGGGCCAACCCAGGGAGAGAGGCTCTAACCCTATAGACACTGCACTGCACTGCCTCTTCAAAGGCCTGACAGCAGACAGGTGTGGTGGCGCCCGCCTACAAGCCCAGGAAGACTGAGGCAGGAGCACTGAGTTCAAGGCCAGCCAAAGGCCATGCAGCAAGGTCAAGGCCAGCCTGAGCTACATTTTTAAAAAGTTCTATATTTCCAGTGAGGTGACTCACTAGCAAAGGTAAAAATCCTGATTGCCTCATTTAACACACTGAGGCTCCATCACACACAAAAACGGTGCACCTGCACCCAGGCCTTCCCCAGATGCGACTCTGTCGCCCAGGATCCCGACCTGGTGACGGCATGACAGGAGCCGTGGGAAACTTGCTCCACTTGGCAAGGCAAAGGGAGTGCTGACTGCTCACTTCCCTGGCTTGAAAGAAGCCATTCCTGCACTTTGAGGAAGAAAACAAGGCCTGAGCTCTGTGCCCCCTTCTTTCTCTGACTCCTATGCCAGCCTTCCGATTGCTCACTTACTGCTCAGGAACTGACCCAGGTTGCCCAGCTAGACTGTGTGCCAAGCCAAGGTGGCAAGACCTCCACAAAGCTGGTAAGGTTGGGCACTGGGCCGGAAGAACATCACCAAATTTACAAGTCACTAGTACTCAGACGTCCTGGACTCTCCACCGGTAACAGTTCTGGGGATTAAATCCAAGGCCTTCACAGTAAGTTACATCATCAGCCCTTATTTTGAGATAGAGTCATCTAAGTTGTCCAGGTGGAACTCAAACTTGTCATTCTCCTGCCTCAGCCTCCCAGTGGGTCTCATGTAGTTCAGGCTGGCCTTGAACTCACTATGTACCCCACGTTGGCCTGGAACTCACAGAAGTCTTCCAGCCTCAGCCTCCCAAGCACTAGGACTGTAGGTGTGCATCACAATGCCCAGCTCTGCCTTTCCTTTAATAATTTTTTTTTTGAGAGTGTCTTGCTATATGTAGTTCAGGCTGGCCTTGAACTCAACTGTGTAGCCCTGATCCTCCTGCCTCAGCCTCTCAGGTACGGCGATCAGAGGCGTTGGCTATGCCTGGCTTCCTTTAATAATTCTTAGAGCACTTTGAAGGTTTCTATTTTAATCTTTCCGAGAATGAAAGACAAAACTGAATCTAAAGGTGAAAGGAAGATCCTGGCATCAAAACAGCTTTCGGTGCTCACAGAAAGGAACCAATCAATAATATAACGAAAACTGGTGCTTCTGCTCAGGAGTCAACAGTGTCTGAACACTTGTCCTGCCAGCCCAAGGTGACATGGTCCAAGCAGCGAGCAGAGAAAGAGGGTCCTTGCCACTCAGCCAGATCGCAAAGCTCCAGACTCAGGGGACAAGAACTTGACTCCTTTGAAGTCTCTCAGTTTTAATAAAGTTGTCAAAAATAAGAACGGAGATTTAAAAGCAAAAAACAAGCCAGGCATGGTGCACACACCTGTAATCCCAGCACTCAGGAGGCTGAGGCAGGAGGATCACTGTGAGTTCGAGACCAGCCTAGGATACATAGTGAGTTCCACATCAGTCTGAACTACACAGTGAGACCCTGTCTCAAAAAACCAAAAATAAATAAATAAACAAACAAATAAAAGCCCAAAACAAAACTGGCATAGTAAGTCTGCCAGACAAACCCAGCTCTCTCTCCGGAGGGCAGCTCCAATCATCTGGCCCCCACCTCCTCCCCACCTCAGGGACAGCAGTGAGATGTGCATTCTGCACCAGGCTGTGCAGCAGTAGACAGCAGTCCACAAAGATGCAGAAAATTACAGGTTTGAAAAACAAGGGTTGTCACTTGCACTGTGAGGACAGCAGGGAGGTGCGGGGAAAAGGAGGGAAAAACATCTCCCATGGGCAAGAACATTTTCCCTCTCCCGCACCCCATCTGCCAAGCCTAATTACATGGTCACACCAGTCTTTCCTTCACAGCATTTAAAATAAGAAGCAGCATACCCAGGCATACCCCTGTCATCCCAGCACTCTAGAAGGCTAAGGAAGAAGGATCACAAGTAATTCTCAAGCTCAGTGACTTAGCAAGACCCTGTCTCAAAATAAAGTAAGAAAAAAATGGTCTGGGGCTACCAGCTCATTCCCCACTACCAGGGTGGCACAGGCAGCACCATAAAATGAAGGACAGAAAGGGACCTTAAAGCCCACCTACCTGGGCGTGGTGGCTCATGCCTGCTATCCCAGCACTTGAGAGACCAAGACTGGAGAACTACAATCTCAAGGCCAGCTTGGGCTACTTAACAAGTTCTAAGCCAGGCTGGACTACTACATAATGAGATCCTGTTTCAAAATACATCCCCCCAAAAGACCACCTAGTCCAATCCTCCCATCATAGGAGAGGAAACTGAGGCCCAGAGAACACAAGGTCACACAGCTCACTGGCAGGTCTCCAAGTCCTGAAGCAGAAGTCCTCTGAGCCGCCACACTACCCTGGCCAACCTCACTGGTCTGGGGCCCTGGAAACTGGCCTAAGGCAGGACTGGAGCGTAGGGAGGTGAGGGACAGAGAATGGGGTCTTCCAACAGCCGCAGGGACAGGCCAGGGCTGCAGGCCAAGTCCCGCCAGCTGTAACCACCCCACTCTAGTCTTCTGCTGGGAAGGCCCCCGAGGGAGAGGACGGGTGACTGGCAAGCAGGAAG